AAAAAAAAAATAAAAAAAAATCAATCGATCAATCAATCAATCAATCAATCAATCATTTAATCGACCAATCAATCAATCAATCATCAATCAATCAATCGATCAATCAATCAATCAATCAATCAAATTTGTTTATTTTTATTTTTTTAGTTTTTTTTTTAACATATGAAAAATCAGCCCCCCTCCCAAATTTTTGATTTTTTTTTTTTTTTTGCATAGGCCTGCAGCGGCCGACGTGCGCAGGCCAACCGCGCGCGCGGATTTTGAGGGCGCGCGCCCGCCTGCGCGTGGCGCGGCCGCGCGCGGCCTAGGATCCTGGCCACAAACTCGGATCCTGGAGTCGCCGCCTAGGGTGCCACGTAGCCTATGGGGATGAGGCTCAAACCTCTGCCTATTAAACTACTCAGGGATTCCTGGGTCAGACAAGCATCCATCAACGGCGAGTAAAACTTTACTCTAATTTCCGCGTTCTCCATGAAAGATTTCAGAGTATTAATGTGCAGGATGCATCTTACCGCAATTTCATTACCAAACAGTCTGCGAGTCAAATTGACTATCTCAAAGGGCATGGGAGGTCCCGGAATTTGCAGCGAAGGAAGGATGGTAACTGACGGTTCCGTCGACCATGCAAGGACGAATACCCCCTCTTGCGTTGCCGTAAAAAGTAACGGCAACAGGTACTTCGTCCAACCTTGGTCTTGACCTTTTCTGGAGGTCATTTTTCTTCTATTCCTTTTCGATGTTATCATTGTTGTCCCGATCCCTGTTGCTTTCCCTCCTTGGGCCGAGGCTTCCAAGGCGTCCGATGGTTTCCCATCAATCCTCTCTCTGATACGTAAGTCTTGCATGTCTTCACTCAGCCTTCTTCGTTGTTTGGTCGAGGTCAATTCCACACCTTCACGCCCCTTTGCGGTTGACATAAAATTTCCTTTCCCCCCCATTGAAGAGGCGGCTCCTCCTCTACTCACACCTCCGCCAGGAAACACGCCTGCCCCTCCGCCTCCAGCCGCGGAAGAGCTTCCCAGAACTCCCCCGGTACCTCCTCCGACACCTTCTTTAAACTCCCTGCTGGCTTCCGCCCTTCCTCTTGCCTGGTTGTTGTCACCTCCCTGATGATAGATTGGATTGTGTCTCCACTTCTATCCCAAGGGACCACCCCCTCCCATAGCTCCCAAGGGGGATTCATCTCTCCCACGGCTTCGAGCTTTCAGAATACCATTGTATGTACCTTACTTTACTCTCGTCCTTCCGTCAGATGCTGTAGAGCCCGGGCTATTCGGCGTTCAGGAGGCTTCTGATTGCGTGCGGCGGGAACGACTTCTCGGCCCTCCATCCGATTGCCGACCGACGCTTCCCTCTCTATCCGAACCGCTACCACTTTCCCCCCCGGAGGCATTATTGCTCTCGTTTCCTCCTCCTGATGGTCTCACGCCTGTTGCGCCATCGTCTCCTTTAAATGGAGCATTTCCATTTCCATTACCTCTACTATCTCCTCTGCCTCCTCCTCCTCCTCTGCCTCCTTGCCTTCTCCCTCGGCGGCGGCTGCTCCCGCTTGATGCGTAACTAGGGACGGGCGACGGCGACCTTCATTGTTGGCGAACCCTTGTACACGGACACTGATCTTCTAGGTGAAAGAATCTTCTACACCTGCTGCACCAGGGAGTTAACGCATTCGCCACTCGAATTTCGATGACTTGACCTTGAAAAGTTGTGAAGGATAGTGACTCCTTACATCTCGGAAGCGCCTCAATTGCAATGTCCATTCTGACATTAATAAGTTGTTCAGACCCAACAGACCGTGAAAGGAAGTTGCGGAAAAGTTGTCCGAAGTGTTTCTATACGGTTGGCGGCCTGAAAACCAAATTGCGCGGCCTTCCACGACCTTTCCAGAAACGCCTTCCATCTGACTAGGGGGGGGGGCATGTTCTCCCGTGGAAAGAAGATGCCGAGTAGCCGTGGTCCACCTTACGTCGCGGAGGACTATTTCATGGGCGGGCAAGCCCGCTCGGACATGCACTGCCGTGTCGCACGGTTCCAATGGGGACTGTTGTGTGGCTGGCCTGCGCAGACCCTGCTCTCCGAAACGGGAACGAAATTCAAATTCAAAAAACGGGTGGGGCGGGGACGACGACCAACCATGCAGGGGTGATCCAGCCAAGCACGGGCAGCATACGAGCGCACGTGCGGATCCCGTTAGCCCTGAGCGTTGTCCTCATGCCGAGTGCTGGGATGCGAAGGTGCGTGCAGAGTGCAATGTCATCGCTGAGGAGCATTATAGGCGCAGGGTGCGACGTCTGTGGTCGGCGATACGTTTTTTGGCAGTGTCATCAGCCAGGGTACGGGCGATGGTGGCATATGGAAGGGGCGGTCGGCGCAGCGACGGTTGTCCGGGCAAGGAGCCGTTCGGGCGAAGGCATTTCGCCGATCAGTCGTGGTGTGAACATACTGCATCGACTGTTGTTTCAGCCCTCATGGGCTACGGCAGGAGTTGTCGTTCCACGTGTGCCTCCATTGTCTTCATCAGCTTTTCGTCATCCTAATCGGATTCTACGTGGCGAAACGTATGACACCGATCTTCGCCGAAGTCCGCTGGACTTTGCTGCACGCGATTGCATACTCCAATCTCCACATCCGCATATTGTCCACGCGGCCATTGCTCGTTCTTCTTGTCGCTGTCCTGCCTGTCCGTCGTGCCATCATTGTTGCTGCCCCCCTCTGGTTGTCGTCATCCACAAAGCAAGCACCGTTGGCGGGCAAATACAACAATTGTGGGCTACAATAGGCTGCTGTTTTGTTCTGATCGTCGTCGTCTTCACCGCCTTGTTGTTGTCCATTTCCGTGTTCTGCGTCGTTCTCTTCTTTGCCTTCTTTTGGTCGGTACTGGGACTGTAGTGGTGCAGGCTGGCAATCTGCTTGTGGTGGTGAGCGCCGACTTGTGATCGGCCTTTGCGAGGGAGCAGGGAGGGGGGGGATGGATCCAAGTCGGTAGAGGGTGGAGAACCAGGGAGGCATTGAGGGGGGGATGGATCCGACTCGGTGGAGGGCGGAGAACCAGGAAGGCATTGAGGGGGAAATGGATCCCAGTCGGTGGAGGGCGGAGAAGCAGGGAGGAATCGAGGGGGGGTTCCCGACGCGGGGCGGACGTCCGCTGGCAGGCAGTCACTACTCTTGTCCGTCATCGCCGAAGCTACAGTCCTTCATCGAACAGTTGTACGACAGGGGGCGAGGTGCACCGATTCGTGTCTCGCCATCCCCCCTCCCTTCTTCACATTCTCATGCAGACGCAGCGGGGCATTGTGCCCGGTCCCATATTCGGCCACCTGCGGCCACTATGCCTGTTGGAGGTGGTCACATGGGACACACACCGCACACCACCCAGGTGGGTGGCGGGTATGGCGTGGGCAGTGCACATACCTTGCCGGTGGGAAGTGGGTTCGGCTTCGCTGCTCACGTGTTCCCCACGTAGCACACATTTGACAGGGGGAGCGCAATGCGGAATGATCGCCCTTGGTCCCCGCAATCCAGGCAGAGTTCCCAGGAATCCCAGGCGTCGCACGGCATGTACTCCAGCACCACCATTCTGACCAGCAGGCGATCACCTTCCACTCTCGGTCCTTCGACGGTGGACTCCGACGGACGCGACATGGACAATGCATGGATGCTGCATTGCAGGACTTCTGTCCCGTTGGGGTTTGACAGCGATGCCACAAACAACTACGATGGTCAAGCGTGCGAGGATATGGAGGACGACACCGGTAATGGAGACGAGGATGATGTTGATGACGATAACGGCGATGGAGGCGGTGTTCCAGAAACAGACAAAGGTGGTGATTCGAATGGGAGAAATGATGCCAGACGTGGGCAGAAAAAAGGTCGGAACGTCGGGCCACCGAAAAACAAAAAACAAAACCTGGCGTGGACGTTGGAGGAGAGGATATGGCTGGCAAAGATGATGGGGGAGGACGATGCGCTCATGGCTGACGCCAATGGATAGCATCAGTTCATGAAAAGGAAGGAGCGGTATGCATGGGTGGCCGATCGCATGGCATCCGACGATTATCCTCAAAGAACTGCGGAGGACTGCCGTAAGAAGTGGACGTCCATGATGTCGAAGGCGAAGCTCATCCTTGACAAGTGCGAGAATGTGTCGGGCCTGCCGTCGTACTGGGACACAGACTTGGAAAAGCGGAAGGAGCTGCAGGTGCCTCTCGCCTTCGAGAAACCGTTGCGGGATACCATGCAGTGGAAACTGAACAGACCATCCATGACGTGCGACCAGACACTGGGCTCAGAGGACCTGCCGGGAGCGGGAGAAGGAACGCCGCCTCCGGGGAGAAGTGGATCCGGAAAAAGCGGGTCTGAGGCAAGAGGAACAGATGGCTCAGAGGGTGCTGCGAAGATGCGAAGAACGTCGTCAGGGAGAACTAGGATGGATGAGGCAGGGACCGACGGATCGACTTTGGCGAGGGCGATGGAGGATTCGACACGATCCTACTGCGATGGTCTTGACAAGGCCGCTTCTACATTGGCGAAGGCGACCTCGGATGTCGGCACTGCGATGGCCGTGAAGATCGGTAATGTGGCGGAGAAGATAAGAGGAGGGAACATTATCCTCGAGATGCTCGTAGGGGTTCTCGCCCGCAGGTATGTGGGGTCTGCCGGTGCCGACGACAACGGCGGGGACACGAACCCGACGTTTACCTAATATATATATATATATATATCAGTGATACTATGGATCAGTTCCAGCCGGAACCGCATGGGCCCACACACAGACACGTATTTCTATGTCTACGTGTGGGCCCATGCGGCCCTGCCGGGTACTAATCCACCGTGTCACAGTCGCATATTCCTGTAGGAACCGCTGGGGCTGGCAGCGGGTCGGCAGAATGAGGGGTTTCAGACTCTCGAGATACAGGAGGGGGACAAACTCAACTCCCAGGAGAGGGTCATGATTCCTTCACTCGCCTGAGGGCCCCGCAATGATGACCAGAACATATCAACAGCTCGGTCAAACTGAAATTAAAGTGCCAATTGTTGACTTCCCTGATGATCCTCCAGGTCGTCGCAGCTACCTCCTTGCAATGCCCAACCATCCTTCTAGGTCAACACGCTCCTATCTTCGATCAAATTATCTTTACATGGGTGCGGATGCAGTAGTATACGGTAATAATGCACCGCAAATGCAGCCAGCCGCAGCAACTACAACAGCGGTAACTTAGCAAAAGCACGACGGTATTTGCAACACCAATTTGCACAGTGCCCACAACAGTCGTGCGCTGTCTCAAGACACCGCAGCCCTGTTCATTAATGTAATGCAGTACTCAGCGGTCGCGCTCAGTTTTTCACAACTCACTGCCCTCACTCTCTCGATCACTTGCTAAGGCCCTTATCACTCAACCCCTTCAATTGCGAGCTCACCACACCATTAACATAATCCCCTGACTTTAACAGTCCGCAGCAGCGACTTCGGAGTACGCCACAACAACTTGCCTCAGGAACGATAGCAACTATCTGAAACAGTACCATTTCAAGCAAAGCAAGCTACAGTCAGCTGAAAGATGCAGGTCTCATCAGGCGGTAGTGCCAACAGCCCTAGTCGAACAAACGGTGCGAACGTTAGTGCTCAGCAACAAACACAATCAGTGGAGCACGATACCAACGGTCTTGTCGGCTTATGTCAGTTGTACAACCTTCAGTAATGCCTTGTCAATGTAAACCCGTTGCGGATGCCGCAGCCTCGCGGCCCAAATTGCAGTCTGGTCAGGTAAGTTTTTCTCCCCTCTCTAGGTTTTCTGTCCCTTCTCTGTCCTTTGCCTTCGCCAAATCTGGTCCTGATCTCAGCCAGGTACAAACGGCTCACATGTATTTCGAGCAGCCAGATGTCACCGTATGCACGTACGTACGAGAGACCCGTCTTCGAGGTAAGGTCGCTCCCCTCTCTCCCAACAACTATCTCCCACTTGCATGTGTGTACCCCTCCCCTTCATGCTCTTTTGACGAACCTGCCCGACACCCAGACTAAAAACGTGCCCCGTAAGGTCGCTTACCAATGTCGTGGAGTAAACTGACTACGCCGCCTAAAGCATAGGGGGCACTTTGACCAGCAGGTAGGCCCTTCAACTTTTGCATTTTTGCGCTCTCTGTCCTGCACCACACCACGTACCTGTCTCAAATCGCCACAACTCTCTTGATCTGAGGCATCTTGGCTACGGCTCCACTCTGAAATGAGACAGCATTGCCAACCAAAGTGTATGCGGATGTCAACTGTGCCGCCCTCCATCAGGATCCCATACATACCCTCAGGGCCCGTGCTCGCATCAAAAACTAAACCGGATGGACTCTCTCCCCTCGAGCTCAGCTTATGACACTTGCCTCATCGGTTAACAGTGCACAGTTTCAGCCAAGCCCCGCGCCTAACAGTCCCTCTCTCTCGGGCCATTACACAGAGCCGAGCTAACATTCGAGTTCCACAGGGTCCTCTTTCCCTGCTGATTTATCCAAGTTTGTTTTCTTGATTCATCCCTCTCCGCCAGTTCGCCACTTCTTATGTCGAGGTTAGTTCTCTCTCTCTCTCTCTCTCTCTCTCTCTCTCTCTCTCTCTCTCTCTCTCTCTCTCTCTCTCTCTCTCTCTCTCTCTCTGCGCGGTGTGGCTGGCCTCAAACTACTTCCATCGATAGGATAAGCAAAATCAGAATGAATCTTCCGCTAGAATACGAGCGAATTCATTCCCTCTTTACTACTTATTCTCCCACCCGCAGCTTAGGACCTCTATACCGCTATACCCACACTCTAACTCCCGAATCTGACTCCGCCATCTGATTCATGATGGCCAAAACCCCCCAAAACGGATCTCCACTCGCCTGTTTCAATGAAGAAACGGGCGAGTTAGAGGATTTTTCGCTTCCACTATAGTCGTTTTCCCCTTCTACTCCGCGCACTCACTTTCTAATTTAACTTCTATCTTACTAACTTATCACAAAAAATGACCTCGGATTTGCGGTCGCCCACATTCAAAACCCCCAAATCGCTTCTTTCCTCGACCGATTTCGTCGAGAATCGACCGAGTTTCGTTATTATCACTTCTTTCCACCTCCGCCGTCACTGCAACTTCGCGTCCGTCCTTCTCTACTAACGCCTCTATCTACTAACTTCCCTCTAAAACTAACGCCAAATTCTGAGTCGCCCGATCAAAAAAACTCGGAATCACTTCCTTCCCCGCCCGATTTCATCGAGAATCGGGCGGGCTTCACGCTTTCCACCTCCACTCACTCCCTCCATAGCCCGTTCCTTCTCTCCGTATGCACCTAACGCAGCCCAATGGCCAGATTCATCCCCGTTTCTTTCTTCGCTGTCGGTCGCTTCCCGTTTGTGCCTGGATACAGCCTCACCTCTGCGGCGCCCGGCCACACTTCGTCTCTATCTCGCACTGCCACCGGTTTGCTAGCGGTCCACTGCCTGTCTTCCCTGCTATTGCTAACACAGCTCCCGCCGCTCGTCTGCCTCCCTGCATAGTCTCAGCACCTGTCGCCCGCCTTGCCTTACTTTACCCGCCGCTCTCACTTAGCGGTCGTCGCCCTCTGCCCCACTCCACGGTCCTAGCGCCTGATTACACTGCAACCAGCCTCCCCTTTGACTTTGCTCTCCGCCCACTACCTAGAGGTATGTCGTTGGTCCCCCCACCCGAACGGCCTCAAGCAGAGACTACTGATGCTCATAGGAGGAGGGGACCGGAGGGGAGGAACTGTGGCTGGCCCCTCAAAGAAGCTCGGTTCTGATGCCCCCGGTTGACCCCTAGCCGGTATCGCCCACCTGCTGCAGCAGGTATCACACCTGCCGGTGGGTGCAGCTCCTGCATGTTCCCTCGTTGGAGGCTTGAGCACAGATGTGGCTGCTACAGGGTTTCCCCATAATCCGCAGCCTGTCGCCGTACCGCTACGGCCTCTCCACAACGCCCCGGGATGGTTTGCCCCTCTGCGCCCGGGCACATGTCACCATCTTTCGTGTCCCAACGGGCACGGGCACACACAAACCTCGCATGGCAAATGGCGGATGGCGGACCGTACACCTGCAGCGACCACCGCCGCCCAGGTCTCTTCCCGTGCCGTGGCCAAAGCGTCCACCGACCCACATGCACATCAACCCGTTCGGTTCATATTTCAAAACGGGTAGGATAGGGGACCCTAGCCAACTTCCCCGACACTTCAGAAACTCGAATGACCCCGCTAAAAGTCGCGCCCTCAAGGTCCTCGACTACAGCGATGACTATCTGGTTCCGATACTCTAGTAGCTAAGCCATGCCCGTAGGCCTCAAAATCGATCACCGAGTTAAAGACCTTAGAAAACGTTAGAAGCAAATAAATAACTAATTAATAGAAACAAGAAGAAGACATTGTGCGTCCCGCTGGCCCGCGACACCGCGCACACCCAAGCCGAGCATGGTCGAGTCCTGCCGTCAATACGCCGCGCGAGCCACTCACCCTTGCGACGACCTAAAATTTCTCTCGCGCGCACGCCGTTAGATAGATGAGGCTGCACTCGTGTAACTTGCAGAAAACACGCCAAATACCCTTGTAAGGGTATTTGGTACGACGGTTTGCCCGGACCTTATTAAGCGACGTCCCCGTCGCAACGGATGCTTAAACCAAATACCATTTTAAACCTAGTTTTTTGAAAAGGTATATAATAACTTTCTCGAGTTCTTAACTTTAGCTAAAACGATCATTTAGTTGTATCCACTCCAAGCCTTGATCCTTCAAAAGGAATGGACAAAATCATCGGTCAAAAGTATCTTTCAATTCCTGATCAAAATAGCAATATACAAATAGTCGAATAATCGGCTAAGCATGAACATTTTTCAACCTCTAATTTAACAAAGTGGATAAAACCACTTTTCACCCTCTGCAATCACGGACAGGAAGTCATCCAATGCCAAACTTAAGACTATACCACTTTCGGCCTCTTTGAACGATATTTTATCGTGTCGGGCACCCTGATCATCCCACCATTAGCTAAAACTCAAACTCGGTGGTAGGTCAAAATTCAGGATCTCAATCTTTATTTAGCTCTTTTTTTTTTCACACTTCAATCACTCAAAATCAACCAATCCATACACCCCTTTTCAATCTCTTCCCCAAAAGAACACCCCATTGTGGGGATTAATCAGACACCTCAATCTTTCAGCTAACCAAAAGGTTAGGTTAACTGACCACATTACATGTGTCATAAATGTATCTTACGAGTAGGGCCCTGTTAAGCCCAATCCCGCAGTTGTCACTCTCACGTAGAAGCCACTTGTTGGACAGGTAGGGGTATTGACTAAGTCTTTTCAAAATAAAGGAAAATCACCCCTTTCGCCCATAAACCTTATTTTTATGGGTATGGTTTTTCGCTTACATCACACATTTTGTCAATCTCACCCATAAGCTTCGCTTAGTGAGCAAACTCTTATAATCTTCTTCCCCAAAATAAAACTCACTTTTTCTGCTTAAAATTTCACACTTATTGACAACCCCACTTTCAACAAAACTAAAGCCGATTGGAGGGTCCCAAAATCAGGTGAGTTTTCCCTGGATCTGACGACACTTCCACCGGCTATTAGTAATAAAAACTTAATCTTCTCAATCATGGAAATCACTGGCGCGCGCTAGACCGTTTGTAGCACATAGCAAGCCAAGTGAAGGGTCCCTGAATCTGGCGGTTTTCCCTACCGCAGGTGGCACCTCCACTGGTTATCATACGACTTTTAAAC